TGCAGACTTGATTTTTTTCTCAGAAAGGACGTATTTTAGGGTAAATACCTCAGTCAACTTCCTGTCATTGTGTCGCTGCAAACTTTCACTTTTGAGTCTTCTCCAAATGTTTTTCTTTAAGATTACACCATGACTTCCTGTGCATGAAGCACGTCCTCTGTGCTTGTAAATGAGAGCGAGGAGTTCTTACGTGGCCACTGAACCTTTGCTAGACTTTAGCCCTGAAGCTATTAGACAGGTGAAGCTGTAAATACTCAGCAGAGTTGAATATCTGCCTGCACTACCCCAAAAAGCCCAGACCTGCTTCAGCACACTTAAAGGAATCAGTTCAGAAAACTGTTTATTAAACTCTTTCAGTTCCTCAAAAGCATGTCGTTAGAGTTCACGTTGGAGTTCAGTGATTAACAGTCTAACACATCTGTCTGTGAATGCTGCTGCGTGCATCACCATTGTTGCTTTCTAAGTCTGGACAAATAAGCATGGTGTTGGAAAAGCTTCTGTTTAACCACTGAATGATCACACTGAGCTGCTCTCTCCCTCTCCTTCATCAGCCTGTGTCTGAGGCTCATTACTGGTATTACATGTTGGAGATGAGCTTCTATTTGTCGCTGCTTCTGAGCATCTCTGTGGATGTGAAGCGAAAAGTGAGTATTAACTGAAAACACATAAAGAACCTGATTATTATTCCACATTTAATCCCTGAAATGTAACGTTTTAGTCCAATGGTAAAAAAAAGCAAATGCAGATTATGCTCTGGATTATCTGTAACTGTAATTATCTATAACTCTGTACTTTGAGTGTTACAGTATATTAAATATTCAGTTCAGTCTCTCCACAGAAACCTGAACTGTACTGAATACTTGAATATTCACAGTCATCTCATTTCAGTGCTTCTGTCCTTCAGGAGGCTTTGCTGCTGTCATATTTGTATTATTTAAATTAACGAATCAGTGCAGACAATCATGCTGGTTTCAAACGGCACCCGTGCAGCTGCTGTTTATGCTGCTGCATGTTTTTAAATGCGTGCATGCATGTGTGTTTGTGTTTTAGGATTTCAAGGAGCAGGTGGTTCATCATATTGCCACCATAATTCTCATCGGTTTCTCCTACATTGCCAACTATGTGAGGGTGGGCACTTTGGTGATGCTGGTCCACGACTCTGCCGACATTATTCTCGAGGTAAAACACCACACCTGCCTCCAGATACACTGTGAGTACAAACGCCACTACTTCATTCTTTGTTTTCTAACAAAAGGGAAGTAAGTGCAGCATATTTGGAAATGAAAGTGACTTTTATACGCTGCCTCGTTCACAAGCGTCTGCCACAGCAGGGAAGTCAATGTTCGTATGATCACCTTTATTTTGGAACACAGCCTGAACTCTGTGAGGCTTCACGAGGCACATCCCAAAGCTCTCTTCTTGGAGGCTGTGCTTTGTTCCTTTCTCTGTCAGGATGATACCACACTGGAAACTATGAACAGGCTCTGGGAGGCTGGTCCATGTTTTCCATCCAGGTTCGTTTTGACTGCAGTGGCAGTTTGTTTGTCAGTGCTGCCAATCGGATGCTTTCCAAATGGTGAATCAAAATTTGGATCAAATGTGGATTCATCACTTCACAGGACTTGTTGACACTGATTTTCTTTGGATTTCTTGTGTCATTTGGCATAGCCCACCCATTTCTCCCTGCTTCCCTGCCTTAAGAGTAACGTTTTGACAGCCGCCCTTCCACTGAGACCATTTTTGAGGAGGCTTCAGTGAACAGTAGACGATCAGCTGAAGGGACAGATGTATCCCTCGGGTCCCGGAACAGGTCTTTGCTGGTTTTTCCCAAGTTTTCAAGGACAGGATTTCTTCTCGTCCTCTGTGTGTTCATTTCCCTTAAAAATATTCACAGAGACACTTCACATGATGCTGAAATATTTCTGTCAAACTCTCTTATGATTGGCCTTTTTCACAAGTTCAACAAAAGAAATGGAAGTCGGTCAGCAGGCTGCTAATAACCTGCAAGTGCCTCGAGGTTCAACTTGAGTTGGGTCTTTGCCAAGTTGTCTACTTGAGTTGCATTTTTTTTCAAGCTTGACCGATTCATCAGTGTGAACTAGGGCTGCCACGATTAGTCGACTAGTCACGACTAATTTAATAGTCGACGCGTCGTTTGAAGCTTTGTAAGATCACAAA